ACACTTCGAACTCATCCATATGTTCACCAGTACCAATAAATATGACAGGACTTTTTGTTGCTGCAACTCTGCAAAAGGAGCAGAAGAACGGATATATCTTTTCAACAAGTACATTACAATGACTCATATCCAAGCGCACTTGATATATACTGGTTACGTTAGAAGAAACCAACATGCAATTCAAAAGCTACCATCTAAAAAATGCTTCCAAATAACATAGATAATTTCCACGCCAATAATATAGGAACTTACGCACTAAGAGCACCACCTCCCTTGGCATGACCGTCCATTTTAGTAACGATCACGGCTCCAACTGCTACACTTTGCTTGAATGCTTGAGCTTGATCAAAAGCAGCTTGACCAATACTACTATCCATAACAAATATAACAAGATCTGGTTTCTGGAATATTTAATGATGACATTAGTATTTTAGAGTCCAAACTCCAGGTTAAGAAGATTGGAAGGGAAAAGTAAACATACTGTCGCTTCAGAAACTTGGCGCATCTCTTCAAAAAGAGCAACTTCTTGTTTGTGGCGCCCGCTGGTGTCAACAATTATGAGATCACAATTTTCTTTCTTGAATCTTTCAACACCTTCTACTGCAATTCTTACAGGATCTGACTCAGTATAGCTGTCACAAAAAAACATTGGTTTGATAAGACGGGAAAAACATGACAATAACAATGCATAAATCAAATAATTCAATTGCTAAATGAAGACAAAGGAACGTCAGATGTCAAATCCACTATTAGATTTCAATCAGTAAAAACACAAAATAACAACCATTTTACCACATTTGCATAAGAGATTCCTTCAATTAATATACATATATAAAATCTGTATAATTGTCACAGAATGCTGAATCCACTATTAGGTTTGATAAGCCAGAGGAAAAACACGACAAACACAATACATACATCAAATAATTCAATAGACAAATGAAGACATAGGAACATCAGATGCCGAATCTACTATTAGGTTTCAATAGTAAAAACACAATATAACATTAATTTTGCCACATTTTGATAAGAGATTCCTTCAATATATAATACATATATATAGAAAGAGCAGCACTTGGAACCCGAGGCAAAAAGGCAGGAAGAAGCACTATTATGTATAATCTGACGATAGCAAATTAAAATATATTATTCTTCCCAAAATTCAAATCCACCTCCAACCAAAAAACTCAGTAAATAGTTAATGATATACCCGCCCCTTCATCTACCATTACAAGTTTACTTCCCAATCATACTCACTAAAGGATCAAAAGTGAAAATCCGCATCAATAGGAACTTTTTTTCGCTCTGCATAACCGGAAAAATGGAATCCGGATTTCTCTACTAAAAGATATTCCGCATCACTAAGTCTAAGTGAAAATAAATTATGCATTCATCAGGCTTCAATTACATTTTTATATAATTACAAATTTTAAAATATTTGGGTCATCTAAATCATATAGAATCCTGCTTTTCTTTCATTCTATGACTATATTGTGGCCCTGAGACTGTATTCCAATGGCTCTGTATTAAAAAAATAAAAAAAATTAAAGAGCAAAGAAACACGAATTCACGTCCTCTGATAACAAGTAATGAAAACCAAAATCACGAACTCCAATTCTGAAAGGGGTAAAGGGAACTGTTGTCAACCTGGCATCACAATATATGTCAAATTTTCAAGAATCAGTGTATTATCAACACAACAATATGTGAACCTCAGGAAGAAACACAGCCAAGAGATTTGAATTAAACAGACCTTCCGTAAAAAGGAATTTTAGCTTTAGTTGCATTTTGCTTCAACTGGTCAAAAGCACCAGCTCTAAATGTATCTGCGCAAACCAGAGCTGGTTTCCAGCCCTTCTTCTGATGGTAGTATGCATATTTTGTACACGTGGTCGTTTTCCCAGATCCTAAAATCAAGTACATGTGAATAAGTCCATCTATTTTCTCAAACATAATTAAAAGATCCAAATTTAAGAATGCAACACAATGAGCATTAACAAGATCAATCAACCGTTGGATTTGGAAAACTATTCAAAAAGATCAGACTTCTCGGTTCAGATGAAATAAATTAGAACCCCGCAATATATAGAATGACGTGAATTCTGAGTAACCAATACATATTCATTCGAGAATACAAACATACCTTGCAAACCGACGAACATAACAACACTTGGTTTCCCTTTTTTGGGAGCGAATGAAGGTTTTCCCGGATCCAACATCTTACAAAGCTCGTTAAAAATAGCCTACAGAAGAGACATTTTCAGACCTCATTTATTATTCCAGATTCCTACGATGCCACTCAAATATCACAACTAGAATTTCTCAGAAACAGATTTTTTAAAGCCAACGCAACTTCTGTTAAATACGCCTTCTACGCCTTAACTTTTCTTCTCACGTCCTCAAATTTCAATATCCGCATCCAGTAAAAACAAAAGACCAAATTAAATATTTCCTCAATCAAAAATCATCCTCCTCTATTGTTTCAATTTTTACCTGTTGGATAATTTTTCGTTTATTGTGGCCCGCAGCTAGGTCGTCGAGATTGACGATTTTCTTAATATTGGTCTGCATATCGCGGACAAGCTTGAACTGTACATCGGACTGAAGAAGCGCCCGTGTGATCTCATTGAGACAATCATTCAGAACCTTCTCATCAATTATCGTCGCATTGCTCATCTGCTGAAGAGCCCGCGATATACTCCCTCCTAACTGCGCGAGCACCATCTTGATCGATTTGTTTGGTTTCTTCTAATTGAATGATTTTGATTGAAGATTACGAAATTAGAATTAGAGCTTGAGTGGTTGAATCTGTGTCGAGAAGAAAGGTTTCAATTGGGGATTTCCCGGAGCTGGAGACGGAGATAGAATGAAATTAAATGAAATGGACTCCCTAAGGCCCGGTTTGTTTCTAAATAAAATCGGATTTTAATCTAAATCAAAGTCAAACAATCAATATTAATCATATCTTTCATTCGTCCACAGCTTTTCAACCATACACTTCAAAAACTTCTATCACACTCTCCTAAAAATCTAATTTTAATCTTCACCAAACACCCTCTAAATTAGATAAGAATACTAAATAATTAATATTTATCTTAATATATATATACATAAATGATCTAATGAGNCCCTTTTTATGCTTTTGTTCATTCTATATATTTGTGAGTTCCAATCCACCTATGAATTAATGTACCATTTCATTGGTGCTTAGGATAAGATGAGCACCGGTACTCATTAGATCATTTCTGTATATATATATATATCACTACTATATTATATAGTGAGTTTCATTTTTACTATTCATAAGCCGATTGGCCGTCTCATTCGAGTCAAATTGAGTAAGCCGCGTTAGCCGAGCAAAGCATTTTTCTTTTCTCCATTTGTACACGCTACCTCCCATACCTCATCATCTACTCCAAGCAAAGCGCCTTTTTCTTCTCTATTTATACACTTTACCTCCCATGCCTAGTTATTTACTTCATCTTTTTTCTGTATTTTCTGGTTTCAAATTTTCAATTGTTGTTCAAGAAAACAATCTTCTCATTTGCATTTTGAAGCTAGCAGAAGGTCATTATAAGATAGTTTCTCGATCTTGAATTCCATGTGTATATTTCTCTATTTATTTATTGGAAAACAGAGATGTAACTGCATTACACTAGGTGAGGTTCAGGGACGAACTGGTTGCAAAGAAAACAAAAGTTGTTCTCTGCACTTACCTGAAACGGAACATTTTAGGTCTATTAAGCACGGACGTTATAGACAACTATTTTGAGATAGTAACTATACTTTTCAAGCTAACGGCAGGCGGTGAGTAGAGAGAGAAATAATAGGAATTCAAAGAAAGTGGTTCACAGTTTTTCCATATCTTCTCTCTCTTTATAAGTTACGTGTTTATCTTAAATTCGCTTAATTATTCATTCACTCAACTTCTAATTATTCGAAAATTTATGTGAAATATTAGAATTAAGGTAGGGTTGTGGAAATTGGTGATTGAATTATGGGATTTGGTGATGTAGATCTTATGGATGATGGTGATAGAGGTGGGGGCAAGACGGCATCGGCGGTTGTTTCGTGCTCAATTTGCTTAGATGGGGTGACTGATAATGGGGCTAGATTCTGGGCAAAGCTCCAACGCGGCCATCAATTCCACCTTGGTGAGTCTAATTTTTCAATACATTTGGAAATGAAAATGATCGACATCTGACCAAATTTGTCACTAGATAAAATTGACGTTTTTAAATTTAAATTTTGTTTTAATAGAATTTAAATGGAGAATTTTGTTCAATTCCAGACGTAACTGTTTCGGTTTTTGCATGTTTACATTGGTTGAATAAAAAATACAAGAATAAGGCTAAGTCAAAAAAAAAAAAAAAAAATCCATGTGGCATGGATTCTCAGAATGGAGAGAAATGACGTCATAGCCGAGCCGCCGTTTAATAGTACATACATCATATATACAGTTGTTTCTTTCTCAATCGTCTCTCACTTCACTTCTTTTCTTTCTTCTTAGGAAAATCTCAGGAAAAAATAGTGAACACAGGTGATTTATTTAACTTTTTCTTTTCCATTTTTTCTTTACCTTGCCGCTTCGATTTCTTGAAAAAACTTCTTCAAATTGCAGGTTCCAGTGGAAGAAAAAAGCTTACAAAACAAAGGTTATTTCTTTAACTTTTTCTTTTTCACATTTTCTTACGTTTTCGTTTCCATATCCTAGAAGGGTAGCAAATTAGCCAATAAATTATGTATATTTTTGATCTGAAGTCCAATCTGAACGGACCAAAAGGTCTGTTCAGCACTGACATCCGGGTTCATGGGGTCCGCGCTGAACGGACCTTTATTGTTAATTCATCATAATTGTAATTGTTTTGACTGTTTCAAGAACTAGAGTATAGCAGCTAAAATTGACTTTTTGAAAATTGCTTGTTAACTATTGGAACCTTTTGTGGGATTTTGTTTCTTCCTCACTTTCATTTGTTCATTTGAATCCTATAATCATGTTTCCAAAGTGGACTGAGGAAACAAATGGAGATGGAAGCATAAATTGCAAGTGAGGGGGAACAAGTTAATTGCAAGATTGAATTTCTTGAAACATTGTTGATTTTTTTTGTTTGATTATAATACAAATTCTTTGTGTGATATATGTTGTTTATGTGTTGAGTTAACAATTGATTCTATAATATAATTGTAGCTATCGTATGGGATGCGACCGAGAAAATCTAGACGTGTTGCAGTATTTGAAGGTGAGTATCATGTATTGTAATTATAGTTCTTATTTTTTTAAATTTTTATATGGTCAAGCTTTATAAATTGACCTTGAATGTTAGGTTCCATAGATAATGTTGAAAATGGTGATAACTTTGCAGTTGAAAATTTTATATATAGTTTTTTTTTTTCATTGTCCTTTTAGCTTACATTATAATAAATTTGAAATTATATTTATATTTATGTTATGTCCATGTCAAGAACATGGTGAACCCCAATTGATTGGCCATGAACATTTTGGTTCCACAAATAATGCTTCAAATGGGGATAGCTTTGAAGTTAAACAGTAAGTTTGTAGATTTAAGTAACTTTGAATTTAATAGCTTCACAACTTAATGTTGAAATGCAAATTTGTGTTCCTCATTATTAATGACTACTTCATTTTATTAGAAATGTTGGCTGTAGTTATGGTTGTACCACAGATCGGAGAGTTGATGATTCGTATGCCTATTCAAATTGTTCGTATGATAATGAATCTTCAAAGTAATCAAATTGTTCCGAATAATGACAACAATCATTTTAGCTTGTTGACCATTCCGACTGAATCCTACATGCTCGAGCAGTCAACTATTTGTGAATATCGTGGCGCGAAATAAATTTTATAGAGAAAGTAAGGGATTTTGTTGTTCTAATAGTAAAGTCAAATTGTATACGCACAGTGTACCTAAGCCGATTGGCCACCTAAGCCGAGCCGAGTTGAGTGAGCCGCGTTAGCCGAGCAAAGCATCTTTCTCTTCTCCATTTGTACACGCTACCTCCCATACCTCATTATTTACTCCAAGCAAAGCGTCTTTTTCTTCTCTATTTTTCACTCTACCTCCCATGCCTCGTATTTACTCCATCTTTTTTTCCGTATTTTCTGGTTTCAAATTTTAAATTGTTGTTCAAGAAAGAAATCTTCTCATTTGCATTTTGAAGCTGGTAGAAAGGTCATTATAAGGTAGTTTCTCAGTCTTGAATTCCATGTGTATATTTCTCTATTTATTTATTGGAAAACAGAGATGTTACTGCATTACACTAGGTGAAGTTCAGGGAGGAACTGGTTGCAAAGAAAACAAAAGTTGTTCTCTGCACTTACCTGAAACGGACCAATAGGTCCGTGCTGGACGGACCTCTTGGTCCGTTCAGCATGAACCATTTTAGGTTCGTTAACCATGGACCTTATAGACAACTATTTTGAGATAGTGTCCTTCTTCCAAGATTCTCTCCATTCAGACCAGAGTGCATCTCTCCGTTCTGAACGGAGAAATATAAACTACTTTTTTCAAGCTACCAGGTAGGCGGTGAGTAGAGAGAAATAATAGGAATTCAAAAAAAAGTGGTTCACAGTTTTTCCATATCCTCTCTCTTCTCTCTCTTTATAAGTTATGTGTTTCTCTTAAATTCACTTAATTATTCATTCACTCAACTTCTAATTATTCGAAATTTTATGTAAAATATTCGAATTAAGGTAGGGTTTTTGATGAAGGCAAAATAATAATTCCATTTAATTTCGGGTTTGTTCGTTTTTAGCGAATTACTAGTCTAATTTGATTGGAAACGGGCCAATGATCACAACTCAGGGCCTTTGGCCCTGAGGCACGTCAAATTTTGGGCAAATTCCGTCGTTTAGGCCATCA